TCCTATCTGATGTCACAATCTGATCCACCCCTATGTTCATTATGTAATGTTCCCCTTTCAATCGTACACATCCTATTGTCGTGTCCACGTTTTGAAGCAGCCCGTACCTCTGCTTTCCCCCACCTATCCTCCCTTCACCGACCTCCCAACCTATCAGACATCCTTACAGAATCCCACACTTTCTTCCGTCCCTCCATGGCTTTTACCTCACCCCCATATTTTGCTCTTCTGTTTTCCCCGACCCACCAAAATCAAATATTCCTCCTACTGTCCTTCTCATCCATTTCCTTGACCATGTCCTCCACCCATTCCTCTAGTATACACATATACTGATGGCTCCAAATCCACCTCTGGTCTGGTTTTGCAGTAATATTCCCAACTCGTACTTTCAAATACTCCCTTACTCCTGAATCCAGTGTCCTTACTACAGAACTGTATGCACTCCTTTTTGCCCTAAAACACATATACTCGCTCTCCTCTTCCTCTTTTACAATTTTTACTGACTCCCGTAGCTCATTAACTCTCATAAAGTCAATACACAGCACCAACCCTCTTGTTTGTAAGATCCAGAACTGGTTGTTCTACCTGTCCACACGCCATAAAACAATCAAATTTTGTTGGGTGCCCAGCCATGTTGGAATCCCCGGCAATGAACAGGCAGATACACTAGCACGCCACGCTGCTATGTCCACATCATACCAACTACGCTTCTCATGTATCCCAGCCACGGATTATTACCCACACTTTAAGACCTTCTTGTATAAACGATGGCAATCTTTTTGGTCAAGCCTCCACACTATCAATCTCCTCCTGGTCAGCTCCATTTCATCGGAACAGACGTTGGGAGACTGCTCTCGCCCGCTTACGCATTGGCCACACCCGTCTAACACACTCCTATCTGATGTCACAATCTGATCCACCCCTATGTTCCTTATGTAATGTTCCCCTTTCAATCGTACACATCCTATTGTCGTGCCCACGTTTTGAAGCAGTCCGTACCTCTGCTTTCCCCCACCTATCCTCCCTTCACCGACCTCCCAACCTATCAGACATCCTTACAGAATCCCACACTTTCTGCATCAACAACCTGTTCTCTTTCCTCAAACGCATACATATCCTTTATCTAATCTAACACCCGACCTTAACCCTTTCACTCACCAATTCCTTTCCCCAGCTTAGACAACTAATCACTAACTCAACCACCTTTCACTAACATTAACTATAGTGCTACATGACCTTAGATGTCTAGCACATTTATCTTGCTTTTAACCATTAACCATTTCTTCTTTTACTTATATTATTTGTTCACCCTCTTTACCCATTTCACAACCATACTATCATATAATGCTCTATTATATTATATTGGAATATCATGATTTATTTCCATTGTTATTTGATACCCAATTTTCTTTTTTAAATGTACCTCGAACTGTATTTTCCAGGGTGTATCCAAATTATTCATTCCACCAAACGTAGTGTGTTCCAGATAGACAGCAATTTCGGTAAAAAAAAATCTCGTCACGAGTTCTCAGAAAGTAACAGAGGTAATAATTAGCATTGCAATAGACTTTTACATCATTGGGGGCAAGCTTTGATATATATATATATATATATATATATATATATATATATATATATATATATATATATATATATATATACGCGCTTCAATTCTCGCTTTGTTTAATCGTTAAAAATCTTTTAACGTGTATATATCAAATATCACATCACTTCTGCCGTATATCAGAGCTGTTTAACATTTACATGAGCGATTATTCTATGTCTAATCTAAGATAGTGTGACGAGCCAGTAGGTGGCGCGGCGTAGCAAAGGGTTTAAACTAAACCTTACAAACTGCAGACTTTTTTCGCCTGAGACAATATCCTTTCTTGTTAACATCAATCTCCTGGGGTAAAAGTGAAAACATTATGAACAGATGCATTCCGGAATTACATTTCAGTACACTTGCTGGGCCCAACTTTTGTACATCTGGTACCACTCCGATGTAAACATAGCGTAAATATTTAATAAATGAGGCGACAAACCTTGATTGTTTGTAACAAAGAGTGTGACTGATAGAATTTAAATAATAGATATGTCGTCTGTCACATATGAAAAGTAAATAATGATAGATAATCAGAACATTAACTTCAATATGACGCATAGGTATTAGGGTTTCCTTCCCGGGATCCCGAGATCCCGGCCATAAATGGGCTTTTTTTCCTTCCCGGGAAATATGTGAAATCCCGGGAAATCCCGGGAAACTTCTTTTTATTATTTTTTTCTTATGTCAGCTAAAAAATACGAAAATGTATGAGAGAGAGAGAGAGAGAGAGAGAGAGAGAGAGAGAGAGAGAGAGAGAGAGAGAGAGAGAGAGAGAGAGAGAGAGAGAGAGAGATGCCTGGGCTGGAAGCGAGACAGCGATGAGCTGAATCAGCTGACGAGCGACGTCGTCGCTCAGTGATCGTAGTATTTACTGTTTGTGCTTTTTGAAGAGTTATTTCAAAAATAATTCTTAGGGTGTATGACTGCATTTGCAACTGTGATTTTTTTTTTTTTTTTATCTACAGGCCATTCCATACTCTAGTATTGGGTGTTTAAAGTCCCACTTCCCTCTTTTCGTTTACCATGTCTGGAAAGTTGGGCCTAAATTCCAAATATTTTTTTTATGATTTTGTATGTGCATTACGGAATTTTTATTTTCTTCAGCTTTATTCAAATACACTGGGAAAATACCAGATAATATCTACTCTTCTTTAATTTCAGGGCATTTCGGAACTTTCAGTATTTTCATTTATTTATTTATTTATTTATTTATTCACTTTTTAGGTTTTGTGGAATATAGTGTTCAAATTATTTTACATATGTTATTGAATATATGCAAAAGTTATTCTATAGTTTCATTTTCTGTGTAGTTTACAGTCTTGTGGAGCAAGATGGCTTGATGGGGGTCAGTGGAGGTGGCCAGTGCTACTGGCCAAGCTTCTATATGGATATGGTAATATGCAAAAATTCATATTCTATACGTATTAGGAAACTCTATGTCATTTAAAAATACTTATTTCACACTTTCACAGGGTAAGTAACAGCGTATTTTTTCTGTCTTTTTGTTGTGGCCTTGAGTCGCTCCTGTTACTGTAAAAAAAAAAAAAAAAAAAAAAAAAAAAGTACTACTGAGGTTCATTTACGAATTACGATAGAGAAGGAGTATTAGCAAACATTATCTGCTACGGGAAATCCCGGGATCCCGGGAAATGTCTTGATTTTTCCCGGAATCCCGGGATGCTATAAAATCCCAAAAACAGGAAACCCTAATAGGTATATCATGCATAAAAATATATCAATATCAAAACTTGAACTAAATTTATCAATGAACAAACTAAAAACGGTTAATGATCTTTACACTTGTTATCTTTCACCCAACAACTGAACTTCCCGTGCGCTCTCCACACACTGCATGACGCGCTGGAGGCGACGTTGACGATGTCGTTTGTCTGTTCTCTTTGGTGACGTTCTGTGATGAATCCCGTCTGCATGAGTCGTTTTCTTCGCCGTGCGGTGTGTTAGCGGGAGCTGTATGTCTTTATATGAATTATTCTTATTATTCAACTTATTCAACTGTATACCATCTGTAAACCCGGCTCTGTG